AAACAGTCGACCAAATCTCACTCATATCAACTTCAACAAAACAGTCGACCAAATCTCATTCATATCAACTGCAACACAACAGTCGACCAAATCTCACTCATATCAACTTCAACACAACAGTCGACCAAGTCACTCAGATCAACTTCAACACAACAGTCGACCAAGTCACTCAGATCAACTTTAACACAACAGTCGACCAAGTCACGCAGATCAACTTCAACACAACAGTCGACCAAGTCACTCAGATCAACTTCAACACAACAGTCGACCAAGTCACTCAGATCAACTTCAACACAACAGTCGACTGGAGCTTTGAAAGAAGAATCAAAATAGAAAACGTTTTCGATAGTTTAGAAACCATTTCATTAACACCGTCATTAACACCGTCATTAACACCGTCATTAACACCGTCATTAACACCGTCATTAACACCCTCATTACCACCGCCATTAACACCGTCATTAACACCGTCATTAACATCGTCATTAACATCGTCATTAACACCGGCATTAACACCGTCATTAACACCGTCATTAACACCGTCATTAACACCGTCATTAACACCGTCATTAACACCGTCATTAACAACGTCATTAACACCGTCATTAACACCGTCATTAACACCGTCATTTCTCATTTAGACGGCTGGAATCAATTATTAATAGACAAATAGAAAACTTCTGCTAGACCTATGCCAGACTGCTAGACCTATGCCAGACTGCTAGACCTATGCCAGACTTCTAGACCTATGCCAGACTGCTAGACTACCAGACTTCTAGACATATGCCAGACTGCTAGACCTATGCCAGACTGCTAGACCTATACCAAACTGCTAGACTTATACCAGGCTGCTAGACCTATGCTAGACAATGACTGATAGACATATGACATACTGCTAGACATATGCCAGATAATGTATAAGAGATATTCAGATCTTAAAATGATTTTATCCCGGTTAATTTTTTTTCATTTAAAAATTCGAATCTTTTCACTTTATTATATACTTTGCTAAAGTCCAGTCAGGCGTCCGGGAGGGGAGGGGCTATTCAAGCATTCTAGAGGAGGGTGGGGTCACGAAGTCATTCTGGGAAGGTGGGTCCATTCGCGCATTCTTGGGCTCACGCGTATTAAAATCAATACTCCCAATGTAAAAATAAATAACCATGTTTTTTTAACTAGACGTCAATATGCTGTACATTGATACATTGCGTCTTAAACGTCAATCGGCTGTACATTGATACATGGCGTCTTGGACGTCAATCTGCTGTACATTGATACATGGCGTCTTAGACGTCAATCTGCTGTACATTGATACATGGCGTCTTAGACGTCAATCTGCTGTACATTGATACATGGCGTCTTAGACGTCAATCAGCTGTACATTGATACATGGTGTCTTTGACGTTAATCTGCTGTACATTGATACATGGCGTCTCAGACGTCAATCTGCTGTACATTGATACATGGCGTCTTAGACGTCAATCTGCTGTGCATTGATACATTGCGTCTTAAAAGTAGGGTGTCACTTGGAATGTTAATACAGTTAAGAGGTGTGAAAATGTGTGTGTCTTGGCATACCTATGGGGGCTACCATCCCTATGTACGTTGGGATACCTATGGGGGCTGCCATCCAGATGTACATTGGGATACCTATGGGGGCTACCATCCAGATGTACATTGGGATACCTATGGGGGCTACCATCCAGAAGTACGTTGGGATACCTATGGGGGCTACCATCCAGATGTACATTGGGATACCTATGGGGGCTACCATCCAGATGTACATTGGGATACCTATGGGGGGCTAGCATCCAGATGTACATTGGGATACCTATGGGGGCTACCATCCAGATGTACATTGTGATACCTATGGGGGGCTAGCATCCTGGGGATGCTTTTATTACTGTTTATTGTCCAACCCCAACCCCCACCTCCAACACACTGTGTTAGTGAAAAGAGTAATGACCCCATGCTGCCGCCAGAAGTTTCAATTTTTACATTTCGCCCCATGTCTGTGCGTCACGATTCAATGCCGTATGTTAAAACCAATGATAAGTCAAATAGACTTGTATCGCAATAAATAACAAACACCCGGTAGCTTAAAAAAAGATTGTGGTATCTAACATGTTCCCCCTCCTCTTCAGTATATGTACACGTCACCACTGTTTCTATCTAATGCCCTCCACAGTAGTTCAAATTGACACCCTGTGGGGCATACGCCCATAGTGGGTAAACAATGTTACACCACAAATCATAACCCCCTAGGTGCACAGACTTTCTAATCGCTGTATCTTTTGGATATTCATTGCTGTATCTTTCAGATCATCATTGTTCGGCTTGAAATAGGTTATTGCAGATCGTGTTTTTTTTAAATTAAACAATTTGAAGAAAAGAAAACGACATGAAATTAATTCAGCCTCTGGCGCTATTTTAATTTCATGTAAATCCACTAATCATTTAATCCCTACCCAAGCTAGTCTTAAATATCCTCAACATATTTCAACAATCCTCAAAATATTTAAAGATATCTGAACATATTAAAAATATCCTCAACATATCCCAACATATCCTCAACATATTCGAAAATATCCTCATCATATTCAAACATATCCTCAACATATTCCAACATGCTCTCGACATATTCTAACATATCCTAAACATATTCTAACATATTCTCAATATGTTCTAAAATATCCTCAACATATTCAAACATAACCTTAACATATTCCAACATATCCTCAACATTTTCCAAAATATCTTCAACATATTCCGACGTATCCTCAATATATTCCAACGTCTCCTTAGCATATTCCAGCATATCCTCAACATATATCAACATAACCCCAACATATTCTAAACATATCCTTAACATATTCTAAAATATCCTAAACATATTCCAACATATCCTCAACGTATTCCAACACATCCTCAACACATTCTCAACATATTCTAAATATATCCTTAACATGTTGCACAATTCAAAATCTGCCGACTTGTAGAACTCGGTAATCGACTGTCTCTTCTAGAAGAAAACACAAGCCTTAAGATTTCCAACCATCAATCACTCCGCTCGGCTACATGTTAAACTCACTCAATTCATTTGCTGCCCAAGGATACTGCTTCTAAGCTAAGTGTGCAATTTTTTTAATTTTAATTCTTTTTTTTTTCTGTTGTTTTGTTCGCTGGCGAAGGCTTCCTGCCGACACGTTCATTGTTTTGTTGCGTTCCTTTTTTCAGGTTTAACCCCTACTTTGTTTTACTCATTTTATATTAAACTCACTCATGAGGTCACTAATGCTGAAATGCATTATCAAGTAATTTTTTTTTTTAAAGTTAGCTTGTAGTTTAATATCCCCATCTCTAGTAAAAGGTCGACTCCAAGGTTTCATTTAAAGTTCGACTCCGATATTTCCTGTAAAAGATCGACACCAGTATCTCCAATTAAAGTTCCGCTCCAAGATTTCCAGTTAAAGTTCGACTCCGATATTTCCAGTTAAAGTTCGACTCCGATATTTGCAGTTAAAGTTCGACTCTAATACACCGAGTTAAAGTTCGACTCCGATATTTCCAGTTAAAGTTTGACTCCGATATTTCTAGTTAAAGATCGACTCCGATATTTCCAGTTAAAGTTCGACTCCGATATTTCCAGTTAAAGTTCGACTCTAATGCATCGAGTTAAAGTTCGACTTCGATATTTCCAGTTAAAGTTCGACTCCGATATTTCCAGTTAAAGTTCGACTCTAATGCACCGAGTTAAAGTTCGACTTCGATATTTCCAGTTAAAGTTCGACTCCGATATTTCCAGTTAAAGTTCGACTCCGATATTTCCAGTTAAAGTTCGACTCTAATACACCGAGTTAAAGTTCGACTCCGATATTTCCAGTTAAAGTTCTACTCTAATGCACCGAGTTAAAGATCGACTTCGATATTTTCTGTTAAAGTTCGACTCCGATATTTCCAGTTAAAGTTCGACTCCGATATTTCCAGTTAAAGTTCGACTCTAATGCACCCAGTTAAAGTTCGACTCCGATATTTCCAGTTAAAGTTCGACTCTAATGCACCGACCTAAAGTTCGACTCCGATATTTCCAGTTAAAGTTCGACTCTAATACACCGAGTTAAAGTTCGACTCCGATATTTCCAGTTAAAGTACGACTCTAATGCACCGAGTTAAAGATCGACTTCGATATTTCCTTTTAAAGTTCGACTCCGATATTTCCAGTTAAAGTACGACTCCGATATTTCCAGTTAAAGTTCGACTCTAATGCACCGAGTTAAAGTTCGACTCCGATATTTCCAGTTAAAGTTCGACTTCGATATTTCCAGTTAAAGTTCGACTCCGATATTTCCAGTTAAAGTTCGACTCTATTGCACCGAGTTAAATTTCGACTTCGATATTTCCAGTTAAAGTTCGACTCCGATATTTCCAGTTAAAGTTTGACTCTAATGCACCGAGTTAAAGTTCGACTTCGATATTTCCAGTTAAAGTTCGACTCTATGCACCGAGTTAAAGTTCGACTCCGATATTTACAGTAAAACTTCGACTCTAATGCACCGAGTTAAAGTTCGACTTCGATATTTCCAGTTAAAGTTTGACTCCGATATTTCCAGTTAAAGTTCGACTCCGTTATTTCCAGTTAAAGTTCAACTCTAATACACCGAGTTAAAGATCGACTTCGATATTTCCTGTAAAAGGTTAACAACGACTTCTCATTTCTTTTTATGAACATGGGATCAAGTCGTATCGAATCTTCTGGTTTATCTGATTTTGAAACGTGTTTTTCCTTAAATTAAACCTATGGCTGAAATAGTTTACGCGGTTATATGGCTTACAACTCTTACCTAAGCATATTTTAAAAGAGTCCACTGAATAAATAACTCATAATTTAATGTCATCCTGAGGCAGATATTATCAGTGATTAAACTTGCAAAAAAAAAAAAAAAAACACGCAATGCGCTATATAAGGAAAATGTTCAGCATCAATGGGACACTGGGCCTTTGCGAGATTTAAGTTGTTATTTGTCTCTTAAGATCACAGGTAAAACTTGTCTTTTTAACCGCGGATCTTGTCTGAAATATCATCTTAATCACTCGACACACTAACACATTGCTTCTGTTGTGAACGTCTTCTGCATACTTTCAGGGAATCTGTCCTACCATGAGCTTCAATATTGCCATTTGGGCCTTGTTTGGCCTAATCGGTGGAGCAACAGGCGCTGCCACCTACCCTAACCCACAGAGCAGTGGAGCTAATTCACCATCCTACGGATCTGCTCAACCAAACTATGGCTCTGCCCAACCAGGCTACGGTTCTGCTCAACCAAACTATGGCTCTGCTCCTTCCGATAGTGGATACAATGGCGCAGCATCTACTTACGGCAGGTAGGCTAACAATTTTAAGAAACACGTCAAACGTGCACAGAAATTCTATTGTCACAACAAACGAAGTTCTATTCGTAAACGTTTTAATAGAAAAGACAGTTAACCTCAAAAACATCTATCATCATGTTACTCTTCATCACCCCACCCTCCACCCCACACACACACAAACACACACACACCGGCAACTGATTTTTTTTTTATTATAATAAACATCTTGTTAACTCTATTTGTAAAACATATTAACGCGTTGAATGTTATAAAGACATGATCAAAAACATTTAAACTTTTTTTAAAAGCTACACATAACATCGATATAAACATAACATCGATATAAACATAACATCGATATAAACATAACATCGATATAAACATAACATCGATATAAACATAACATCGATATAAACATAACATCGATATAAACATAACATCGATATAAACATAACATCGATATAAACATAACATCGATATAAACATAACATCGATATAAACATAACATCGATATAAACATAACATCGATATAAACATAACATCGATATAAACATAACATCGATATAAACATAACATCGATATAAACATAACATCGATATAAACATAACATCGATATAAACATAACATCNAAAAAATAAAGAAACTTTTTTTTTTTTTTTTTTTTTTTAATGAACCTAAGTTCAAAATAATCCTAATCTTCTCAATTGACAAACGCTACAAGTAATTTCTATGTTTAATCCTTTCATTTTTTTTTTTTTTACAATTATTTCTTTGTTCTGATAACAGTAACGGAGCTGAGGCTGAGCTGGACAATCTTAAAAGTCAAATTGGCAGTGAGTCGCTTTTTCATCATTCTAAGTTCAATTCTAATATGGCTTTTTATTGGGTTTTTTCGGAGTCAAACGTACTAAAAGAAAAAAGAAAAATCACAAATAACATAATAATAGTTTTGCCTATTACTATAAATAGTTCAGTGTATTGTTTATTTCAATAAACATGTAGGCCCAGATGGCAGAAGAGATGCCCACGTCTATATTGCCTACTAAATAAACAGTTCACTTTAAGGTTTATTTGAATCTGTCCGTGCAGGCCTTGAAGGTAGAAGAGATGCCCAGGTCTACAGACTTCGCAACTTGGCCGCCAGCGCCGGGGCCAACGTTGAAGGGAAAAACAACTACATCAAGTTTATTGGTCAGCAGATCATTAACGAGCAGAACATCCAAGCTAAAAGACTAGACAGCTTGGCTGAAAAGGTATCTATAAATAGCTCAAACACTTCACATTTTTTAAAGAAAATATATAAATGTTTCATGCGATTTGACTCAACGCACAACAGTTCTTACAATTTTTTTTTTACTTTGAGGCCAACAGGGAAGTTCAACAACAACATATGTACAAACTCAAGCAACATACAATCAAACTCTGGCAACATATGGACAATTTCTGGAAACATAGGAACAAACTCTGTTAACATATGGTCAGTCTCTGACAACATACGAACAAACTCTGTTTAACATATGGTCAGTGTCTGACAACATACGAACAAACTCTGTTAACATATGGTCAGTCTCTGACAACATACGAACAAACTCTGCTAACATATGGTCAGTCTCTGACAACATACGAACAAACTCTGCTTAACATATGGTCAGTCTCTGACAACATACGAACAAACTCTGGGGCCAAAATAGCAAATAAATACAATTGAATGATTCACACTTCTCCAATTTTATTTTCAGATGTTAAACAATAAAACTGGGTTGCGTACGCTTTGATTTTTTCTTGACTAATTCTATGTTTCATAAATTTGTATATGCGCTTGCATCAATCATAAATCTGCATGTGTTTTGTGGGTTTTTTCCCCACCATTCATCACTCATGAAGTAGACAATGAAAAGGAAGAAGACTAACTTCTTTAGTTACATTACTAGATTGCTGCTATCCGCAAACTGAGGGAAGTGATCAAACAGCTGGACGCTGACGCCAACACCGTGAAGGACTTCAATCAGAAAGTCAGGCTGGACGATTTTGAAGATCAAATCAGAAAGCTGAAACAGACTGACCTGCGACAAAACGGTCTGATTGAAGAGCTCAATGTCAGGGTAAGCTCCCATTTGTACAGATTTATTTCTTAAAATAAAATACGAAACACAAAATGCAGTTAAAAAATAAAAAAAAAAAAATTAAAATTTAAATAATGAGGAGGATAAAATGGTCAACACGTTAGCACTCAACTCAGAAATGGTAAGCTTTCAGAGACCGATATCGGCGATTGATTGGGTTTCCGTTCAATCGATTTCATATACTGTTATCCTCCTTTCAGGCTGCCAACGAAGCTGACAGAATCGACGCCCTCGTCGTCAGCTCCAACTCTGAACTCCGTGACCTCACTCTGCTGGAGAGCCAAACCAGGCGCGCGATCAATTCAATCAACCGCGTCAAATGTGAGCCCTCATGACCTGACTCTTATTCATCCACCAACCTTCGTCAGACCGTGCATCTGTTGATATCATATTAACAACAAAAGCTTGTTATAGTTTACTTTTTCCTCTTCTCGCTACTGCTACGCGTGCTAGCTCGCTCTTGGGGTATATTGAAACATAGGTGTCATGGACTTTGTTACCACGAGGAAGTGCGGGCTGGGTGGGCTTTTTTTACAATGTTAAACTCTTTTACAAATCATTTTAATCGAACCATCCAATACGAATTAAGTCTTTTAAACTGAAACGCGAGTCCTCTGAATTGCTTCAAGTTCATGTATATATCTATNCAATTTATATCTAAATCTGAAATGATGTATTAAGGAAGTACTGGGTACGTTCACTCAACAAACATCTCATGCTTCACTTGTTGAGATGTGTGGTTTTTTATCTGGTGACTTATTTCGTTTTGTCATCCGTGTCATTGATTGATTCAAATTTTACAAGGTTTTTTTGTTTGTTTCTCTTCCAATCGCAGCCACCTCGTTCTCTCTCACAGTATCACCAAACAAACCAAACCCCGCCAAAGTTATTTACAACCAGGAATTCCTCGGAGTGCCACAGTTCTTTAGCTACGACCCAGTAGGATTCAAGTTGGTTAAAAAAAACGCTGCGGGAGTACAAGTCATTTTAAAAAAAAAAAAAAAACAACATTTTAATAAACCAAAGCATAAAGAGTTATTCTCTAGGTATTTGTAAAAAAAAAAAAATAAAAAAAAACATTTTGATGATGTTAATATTTGACCGATGACCAAACTGGGGGGTCAAAAAGTGGTTAAACAACTCATCCCAGAGGAATGGCTAAAACTGGGAAACGTGGGACATGTCCCGTAAACTATACCGGAACCTATCACACCCAAACGGGAAAAGGGATCAGAGGCGGAAATCAAAGGACCAGAGCTTCATCACCCAGATTAGAACAGCACGCTGACCTCCAGGAAGCTACTTGAATTATAGGTTGCATCCACAGCTGCCGTCATTCAGGACAGGCGCCGGAGACAACAGTGCACAGGCTAGCCGTAGACAACAGTGCTCTGGCAAGCCGGAGACAACAGTGCACTGGCTAGCCGGAGACAACAGAGCACTGGCTAGCCGGAGACAACAGTACACTGGCTAGCGGGAGACAACATTGCACTTGCTAGCCGAGTGCCCGACACTAATGAGTGGAGAAGTTGGGAACAGCCCAGACATCCACTCAGAAAGCCTCATCTACGGCAATGCCCAGCAGAGGCGGCACAACTTTTCACTGCTTTGGCCGCCGCCATATAAGAGCGTCAGCTCGGCCCCCAAAAGAGACAATGTAATATTTCAGAAATACCTGATACATTTCGTACCTGTGTTGAAACCTCCGACTAAATGTGTTGATGCAGTTTCCCCTTGATTACTGAAAACATTTGATCAACACGCGTTTTTAGGTAATGCAAATTTGTCCATGGGGGGGGGGAGCAAGTCTCACTCTGCTCAGCCTTTTCTGTGACAGTTGCTCTTTAGTGTAAGTGACGGGCGCTCTTCAATGTAAGCGACAATTGCTTTATCATTGGTTTCAAATTATTTTATAATTTTTTTTTTTCAGTGCCGCTGGATACCAAGGCAACTATGGAAACTCCAATAATGGATACTCTAACTACGGAAGCTCCAACAGCGGATACTCTAACTATGGAAGCTCCAGCAATGGATACAACAATGGTGGCTATTCTAACAACGCCGGCTATTCAGCCTACCCCGGTGATTCTTCCGTCTCTTACCACATTGAAAGTCTACCTTACAACGACTTCGCAGCAATTTACACATATGATGAAAGCATCGGGGACTACTGGGTTGTCGATAGTGTTGACCTCAGAGCCACTGCCATATATTTCGAACCTAACCTCCTGCCCAGGGTTACCGGATAAACAGATTTGACTGTTATCTGAAACGCGACCCGCCTCCTGTACGTCCACTCCATTAGGGCCTTCTTTTGGATGTTTATATAATGCTGAAATAATTTGAAATAACGTTAACATGTATTTTTTGTTTGAGAAATGAATTACTCCCAGATGTAAAAGGAAAGCAATAAATATTCTTTACTGCAACGTTTGCGTCCATAATCTTTGAATAACATGGCTTATGTGTGGGTTTTTGTTGTTGTTTTTTTTTTTGTGGATTTTTTTTGGTTGTAATTCTTGTTGTTTCTTCATTTGTCCCGTCGGCCGAGGAAGTGCTCTTAGCGGAAGCTTTCTTGGTTAATCGTCCTGTGATTATTTTTCAAGCTTCCACATACCTTGTTCCACTATTTCCTTCACAAAGCTTGAACGCAGTCTTTTATTTATTTTTTATTTCTGTTTAAACAGAAACTTGATAAAATATTAGGCTTATAACTTATGCTAAGTCAACAAAGGACTTCCTTGGCATGTGTATGGCATATGTATGGGGCATGTGTATGGCATCTGTATGGCATCTGTATGGCATATGTATGGCATTTCTTAAAAGATGCACTTTTACTTTCCTGAAAATATCTTAAAAATAGTTCATCTGGTAATATAGAAAATTTTGTATAATTTATATGGTCTTATATGTCTTATATGGTCGGCTGATTGTCTGTGACCTCCTATACCGATTGGATGATCTCCTCAGATGTGTCAGCTAAACACACATGGTAAACCACTTCGTAACAATCCGAGCTTGTCTGGATTGTTTTTGTTTTTTTACTGATATAAAACGTAGTCCAAAATAATGTCAACAAACTTGTGATTTAGTCAAACAAACTTGTGATTAAGTCCAACAAACTTGCGATTTAGTCCAACAAACTTGTGATTTAGTCAAACAAACTTGTGATTTAGTCCAACAAACTTGTGATTTAGTCCAACAAACTTGTGATTAAGTCCGGGTTTCCAGCTCTATAAATGGCAATTTACAGACACATTTTAAAGCTCCAAACATTGAAATATGTGTCCCTATAAAAAATGTTAGTACGCAAAAATACTTTGAAAACTTTACGGACGATTGGCACTTCTCGATGTAGCCTGGGCCGTAGCTAGAGTATTTGGCGCCTGAGGACAGGGTCCATTTTAAAGCGCCTCCCTTTCTTTTTTTCAACCTTAAAACCCATTATTTTTATCAATAAAATATTATCAAATCATATTTTGGCGCCCTAACTAGCATGGCGCCCAGTGACATCTGTCTCCCCTGGCCCCTACTTAGCTACGCCTCTGGATGTAGCAGACACTTATTCACTTGATCGACTCATCAGACAACTCTTTCAGCTCGGAAATGGAGCCATATATTTAATTGCTTTGATATTTCTGCCCGGTGACAAACAAGTACAGGTTCGTATAACAGTTTCTTTTCGTCATCGCCAAATATTAGTTAACGAGATGGAGCCCGCGAAACATTGGCGACAGCAATGAGTGAACTTCCCATCTACTAAAGTTACTTGACAAAAACGTGAACTCAAGTTACGCACATTCAAGAATGTCAATTTTGCTACAAGGCCTTCACGCCCCCCACCCCTTTTTTTCATGATACGTCACTGCACACTTTTTATTTCACGCCCATTAATTGTATAAATATAGCCTACCCGCGGCCTAGCATACGCCGCGAGCTTGTTGGGGTGTGCGCATGGCTGGCAAGCGAGGGTGGTGCAGGAAAGGGGGGGGGGGCGGTAGCTCTACCACAGTGCGCATGTCTCTAGACCAAAGATGGGCAGGCAAGGGAAGGGATGGGTTTGCCTGCGTCTTGCTTGCTTCTTGCCCTAGTTTCGCTGGCGAATTATATAGATAGATAGAAGATAGATTTTCATTTCCTTTTTTGTTTGTATGTGTTCCTCTTTTATGATCCATGACTATTCCCATTAGAGACACCTCATGTTGGTCGGCTAGTCATTTGTTCACTGGTGAACTTTTCAAATATCGGTTTAGTTTCATTTGAACCTTTCCTCAAACAGTAATCCTCTGTACTTTTTTTTAAAAGGATATTCACGACAAAAATACATAAACCAAATAATCCCTAGTTAGTGCGTTCGTCGTACCAAGCCTGTGACCTGAAGTTCAAACAACAGCATCACCAGCGCCCCGGGTGGAGGAGACTCGTCAGCCTTGGATGGTGACTCGTCTACTAAACCAGCGCCCTGGGTGGAGGAGACACGTCAGCTTTGGATGGCGACTCGTCTACTAAACCAGCGCCCCGGGTGGAGGAGACTCGTCAGCCTTGGATGGCGACTCGTCTACTAAACCAGCGCCCCGGGTGGAGGAGACTCGTCAGCCTTGGATGGCGACTCGTCTACTAAACCAGCGCCCCGGGTGGAGAAGACTCGTCAGCTTTGGATGGCGACTCGTCTACTAAACCAGCGCCCCGGGTGGAGGAGACTTGTCAGCCTTGGATGGTGACTCGTCTACTAAACCAGCGCCCCGGGTGGAGGAGACTCGTCAGCCTTGGATGGAGACTCGTCTACTAAACCAGCGCCCCGGGTGGAGGAGACTCGTCAGCCTTGGATGGGGACTCGTCTACTAAACCAGCGCCCCGGGTGGAGGAGACTCGTCAGCCTTGGATGGCGACTCGTCTGCTAAACCAGCGCCCCGGGTGGAGGAGACTCGTCAGCCTTGGATGGCGACTCGTCTGCTAAACCAGCGCCCCGGGTGGAGGAGACTCGTCAGCTTTGGATGGAGACTCGTCTACTAAACCAGCGCCCCGGGTGGAGGAGACTCGTCAGCCTTGGATGGCGACTCGTCTACTAAGAGAAAGCAAAATCTGAAATTAAACTCGGAGATTGGAGTCCCTTGACATTGACAAATGAAAATTCTGACAAATCCTGCGACGTGGAACGCCACGTGAGACAAAAGAAACATTGATGATCTTTCCTTGCATTCTGGTCTATTTCCAGTCGTCTTGACCAAGTCTTGCCATTGGAAAAAAATAGTCAAGGACGAGCGAGTGAGGCTGACAAACTGAGCAAGCTTCTCCCTCACTTTAAACAAATTACAACTCAAGTCAAGGCTACTACTCAAATCGAAGCCTTGGTCATCATGGCATGCGAAGGATGAACAATAACCTTTATTTTTCGGTCACGTGATATGTTATAACATTTCAGGTACTATTCTATACTCATAAAACTGATCTCAAAATGAGGCGTAACTATTACTTTGTATTTATTAACGTATTTTCTTTCTATTACTTTTAAAAGGATCAGGAAAAAAAACAACAGATGTACACAATCGGCGAGACAGTCGCATAATGATTAAGAAAGGGGGATTACTCAACTAAATAAAATTCTAGTTGAACACATAGAAGTTGTCCTTCCTTAGCTACTTTTCTCAGCTATGGCTAGCTATACGCCGCCCTGACAAGAGGAAGACCTGGGGGCGGGGGGGGGTGGGTGTAGAGAGACACGACTATTATTGGAACGACAATCTGTAAAGGAAAACTCTATCGAGATAGACAGGCCAATGTTGTCCTCCTGGAGCATTTAAATTTTTATCATTAAAAAAAAAAAAAAGTATTTTTTAAACTGGAGATTACTCAATGAGCATTGTTGAGTGACCATGCTTAGTACCAGAATTTCAATTCGGTCAAAAGAGTTATTCAATCAAGTTTCGTCAAGAATGATTTCTATTATTGACTGATACACTACAACAAACCATTTATTATGCATCACCTTAAAACCTCAACATACGGTCTAGATTATTGTTACAGCAGCAGTGTTGTTGTTTGTTATAAGTTTTACAGTAAGGGGTTTGATTTAATCCAAGCAATAAGAGTGCTGATAATATTATCACACAGCACGGCTGATAGTATGGTCCTAAAAAATGGGTGCTCATAAAGCCCTACAGAACGTTTGCTGATATAATCCTACATTACGGTTGCTGGTGTAATCATACTTTACAGGCTCTAACAAAGTCCTAATTTACAAGTACGTGTGTAGTCCTATCTAATGGGTGCTGGTATAGTCCTACATTACGGTTGCTGGTGCAATCATACTTTACAGGGGCTAACATAGTCCTAATTTACAAGTACTTGTGTAGTCCTATCTAATGGGTGCTGGTATAGTCCTACATTATGGTTCCTGGTGTAATCATACATTACAGGTGCTAACATAGTCCTAATTTACAAGTGCTTGTGTAGTCCTATCTAATGGGTGCTGGTATAGTCCTACATTATGATTGCTGGTATAGTCCTAGATCTTTCTCTTTCTGTGCCCCCAATAATAAATGGAATTCTCTGCCATTACACGTCTTCAAAATAAGACCATCACAGCCTTCAAAGTGCCATCAACACCAATCTTTTCAAACTGTACCATGCCGACTCAATCTCACCCCACCCTGACTGATAAACAACGCTCAATTCTTCTGGGTGCTGTCCATGGCTAGACAGGGGCAGATAGCACTTGGGTGGGTGAGGTCAAGCTTTTCACCTAAAATTGTTCTTAAATGCACATGTTTCTGTAATTGCTGATTTTTATGTGAAGCGCAGTGAGCCTAGCCCTAGAATGGGGTGCTACAGTGAGCCTAGCCCTAGGCTGGGGTACTGAGCAGTGAGCCTAGCCTTAGGCTGGGGTGCTACAGTGAGCCTAGCCCTAGGCTGGGGTACTACAGTGAGCCTAGCCCTAGGCTGGGGTACTACAGTGAGCCTAGCCGCCCTAGGTGGGGGTACTGAGCAGTTAGCCTAGCCCTAGGCTGGGGTACTACTGTGAGCCTAACCCTAGGCTGGGGTACTGAGCAGTGAGCCTAGCCCTAGGCTGGGGTACTACAGTGAGCCTAGCCCTAGGCTGGGGTACTGAGCAGTGAGCCTAGCCCTAGGCTGGGGTACTGCGCTATATAAAACCGCCTAACAATAGAAATACTACTTCTAATAATAAATGACCATTATTAAATATTGTTGACTGGGATAATGAGATGAGTATTCAAAAAAAAAAAACAAGTTTATTATCATACTGTTTTTTTCCGTTTACAATGTTGATAAAAACGGTTCAAAGATGCAGGATGTTTTAGTCTCAACGCAAGCCAAGCTCTTTCTTTCTAACGCTTTCGTAAATCCTTGATGGTTGTTTGGATGTTCGTAAAATGAACATTTATCCTTAATCCCCTATTTCAAGAGT